TAAGGGAAACCATTTAATATTTTTAGTCTAGTATAATTCTTGAGGTAATATAGAATAATTGCTACTGGAGTGTATCAAAAATAATGAGAAGAGAATGTACAATAAATCATGGCAAAGACTTCAATTCAGTTCTGGAAACATGCATCAGGCCGGATAGGGTCTTTAAAAATAACATATTAAAGGAGACAAAAATAATCTGTTTTTTTTTAACAACCTTAATTAGGCCAGAACAAATAATCTGCCTTAAGATAATGGCTGATGCAGTTTTAGACTGAATGTATCATATAGTCATGATTTATTGTAAACGGTGTTTACTGAATAAATGAATATGCAACTTATTAAGCCATACAAACTTGTTTGATTTTACAAAGTATATTGTTTGAATCCAGTTGCTGTGTTTTAGTCACTGCATTATGTTTAAATGTGATGTACAAACCAGGCTGAATGGTAATTTTTCTAATGAGGAACTGGAATCCTATAAGTTTCAAACATTTCCCTGCCACTCTAATTACTTTCCTTTCATTCCTTCCCTCTTTCAGATCCACTCTCCACACTAGGAGTTATGATGAGAAAAATGGAGGGTGGAATACCGTTCATTATTTTAGTAGTGTGCCTATATTTATATCTCAATTAAAACCTAAGAATTTTGTAATGCCTTGTATTGGGGTGGTGTTGGGGCGACTGAGTGGAGCTGCAGTGTTTACTGGCCCAATGCTGTTCCTGATGTGTCTGCGGAATTCACAGCAGACAATTACTCATTGCACCTAGAGAGAGAAAATAAAACTTAAAAATAAAAGATGAAAAACAATGAATTGTCTACCAAAGATTATAGAGCAAGCTTTGGTTTCTGGAAATTCAGCATTTATTAATACTATGTTTTAAACTTAAAGAGTGATTCCTGGATTTACACTTCCTATAAGAGTTTATAGCGAATAAAAAACCCATTTTTTTCTAAGCAGTTCAAGATTTCTAGCCTCCCCCTTCTAAGTCAGTTTCTTCAAATATTCTTTAAGTTCAGTATTTCTTCTCCTGTGCCTCAAATGGCTCTTTTAGTGAAAACTTTAAACATGCCATCATTACTGTATTGAAAACAAGAACATGGCAGTTTATATCTATGATACAAGTTGGAAGAAAAAAGAGCCTACAATGCTTGATGATTCTCATATAAAAGCAACATTCCACAAAGAGACTAAAATTAAAAAACTATTTATATTCCATAAGGCTGTTCAATCATTTACATATTCTATATTTTTGACACCATTTTCAAATAGAAACAATGCAACTTGCAGTTTGATTTTTCAATCTAACTTTTTGCTGTATAAAAATCATCCAGGGATGTATTATATGCACCATTACAATATGCATGGTTATGAAAGGAGCTTCCAGGAATCTAAGGTTCCAACTCATCCTTTCCTAATGGCCCGGATTCAATCTTTCAAGGTACAAAAATAATCTCATATTAACATAAATAGTAACAAACATTTTTGTATAATTTAAATTGACTATATTTATGTAATTCTGTACATAAAAACTGCTTGCCTTCATTGTACTTAATTATATACATTTAATATTCAGTCACTCTCTTGAAGTATTACATTTGATCCTTGCCTCATTTGTTCTATAACTAGTCTTGGCTAGATAAGAGAACAAATTATATTAATGTCCATCAAATGTTGCTTTTGGTGGCAAAGAACCTATGTGCATATGAAATCCTAAACGTCTTTCGAAATATGTATGACATGAGGATTATAAAAGACAGGCAATAAATATAAATGCTAATTGTGAAGACCGTTGCCTATAATTTAGAATTTTAATAATAAACATGTTCATACTGGATAATGGAAATGTAAGCTTTAGAAACTTTAGAACTACAAATCTATTCTGATTTCTCTTTTCACTATTCTGAAAGTTTATTCAGCACTAATTTATACTTCCAAGCTATCCATAGATGAATTTTCTCAATGGTTTTCATTATCCCAGGATTCAGTCAAAGTATATTCAACATTCTTCCTTCTTTAGCAGAACTGCTGTAGTTAATGTTTTGCTTTAACTTTCCTTCTTGCATCTTTATGTTTCTTCCGACAATCCTGGAAATGTTGAAAATTTAATATAGTTATGAGCGATTTGGTATTATAAAATTAATTAGCATTTCAGCTTTTAGCATCTAAGCAGGGTCCATAACACAGTGAATAGCAAGTTTTGGAAAATGTGGATAGAAATCAGTTTTCTCCTCTTCCAGCAATGCCTCACAATGAATCAACAAGGGCGAAATGCAGCTTTCTTACCAGCTTGGTTTCAAAGTGGAACTAGGATGCATACTGACAAATGAATACTATACAGAAATTGATAGATAGAAAACAGAATGAATCTTAGATTGTGATTTTGATTTGCTAGGATCCTGGATCAAAAGTGAGAAACAGCCTCTGGCCCAAATATCAAGACTATCTTTAGCCACATACCTCAAGCAATATTTGGCGCCTGCTTTCCCAATCCTCTGTTTCTTCATCAAGATCTGAAGCTTTATAGAATAGCTCAGGGCCCTCTAGAAAAATAAAGAATAATGTAAGCTTTGTCAACTGCCTGCCCTGTAAACAAAAAAAAAGCAAATGATCCCTGTAAGCCAAGGGCTCAAGGTCTGCCTAGATGAAACAATTGTACTTTGATAGCTCAAGGAATTACAATGTTTTCTACCCTGCTGTTGAGTTTGCATGCTTTCATCCTCGTGGCCTCAGGGGAAAAAATGCATATATAAAGTTCATGGACCATCAGATTTAACACATTCTGAAACCTAAGATTTTCATGAACATTTCTCTTTTACAAGAGAAATGCCCTCTTCTCCGCATCCTTGTATTCCTCTCTCCTATCAACATTTGCTTCAAAGGCTCCCTAATTCTTTGAGGCAGAGTTTAAAAACACTTGAAAGATGTGGATAGAAAATTTTACCCTTCCAGCGCACTGATAGAGGCAAAACCATAAGGTCTGTCAGCCATAGGATGCTCCTAATATTGTACTTGATCTTTTAAAAACTATTTTAAAAAAATCACTGAATACTGGTGTTTGCAACCATTGTTCAGGTAGAAGTTTCTTAAAACGGCATCAATTTTAATAATTTTTAAACTAGAATTCTTTGGCATCTAAAATAGATAATGTTAGCCACAGCAATCTGAACTCATGTTAAAACTCTTCAAAAATGTAGAAAAACTTACAGAAATTATGTTTACTGAATGCACAACAAACAAAACTTTGGAGACCTCTAAGTTAAAATAACTTTGATGTTTACATTTTAAGAATTAATCTGAAGAATAAGCATGTTGGTAACTAAAATAATTAAGAAGATTTTTTTCTGATTCTTACCTTTTAATCTTTTATCATCATGTGAGAAGAAGAAAAATCTAATATTTGAATGTAGAACAGCTGAAGAACTGAAAAAGAAACAGGAGTATTAATTTCCAAAACAAAGACACCCCCCCCCTACTTTTTCACGCCTGAGCAATAAATTCATTTTCAGGAAGAAGCATATCTTTTTATTTTCAGAGACGAATTAAATGAACAAACTATATAGTGTCTCATATTTATTTGCATTAAAAATATGGCGAATTTGAACTCTCAGAAATAATCAGGAAATAGTCATATTGTTTTTTTCAACAGTGAGACAGCAAGAGCAGAAAGTAATGCTGATTGATTGAATTTATAAGGTGGATATTTTAGCAATGTATTCACACATTGTAAAGGATACAAGACCATGCAGAAACTGGAGCTTCCTGCCTTATTGTCCTTCTTGTGCAGTCCCATATAATCTTTGGGGAAAGCATGGGGTATGATGGGAAATGCAATCGGAGGGGAAAGTCACATGACATTAAGGCTTTCTGGCTGCTGCTAATGAAACTACAGTATCCAATATAGATAAGTGGCTTCATGGGGGAGGGGGGGATTTGACAGTCGATCATCTCAGAGAACGCATAACCTGCTTCACTATGTTAAAATTTGAGTTCTAATCTAAAGTTCAATGAATACTGCCGAAATATAATTTACCTTTCTTTGACATCTTGTACTTCAGTTGCTTCTGATTCTTCATCTTCTGAACTACTATCTTGA